ATAGAACTTAGCTAAAAAGTTATCTAATATTTTTACACAAAAAATTCTTTGAATCTCCTATAAAAATACGAATCAAATCAAATATTTACATAATTCGTGTTTTCGAATCGAATAATTATATTATTCGTATTAGTACGAATAAAATAATTCCTTATTCGTATCCGTTCGAATAATGAAAACATTATTGGATTTGATTCATTGAATATTCGATGCCAAAAATTAAATTCTTTAAAAATATAATCAAAAAGGATATTAAAATTTAATGATTTATAGATGTTGAAAAAAAAAGTAAAAACTTTTGAAGGAACTTTTAAATACTTAAGAATCATGTCAAATATTTCTGGGTTTGAATATTTCTGAATAATTTGAAATATTAACAAATAATTTGGAATATTTAATTACGAATAATTTCTAATATTTATAAATTATTTCAAATAATAAGAATAATTCGATCGAATAATAAATAGATAAAAAAAAATATTCCACAGATAATATATTTTCTTTATTCGATTCGAATCAAATAATTTTTTTTTCATAAAATACGAATCTTATGAAATAAAATCGAATAGTGAATAATTCGTTTTAGGTATAATTTTATTTTTGTTAAATTTTACTCAATTTTCTACAAAAGAAAATGATATTAAAGTTCGAATCCAATATACTAATACAGAATTTTATTAATAGGGGTTTTGAAATCTTTATGATTCTAAAACGAGAAACGATTATATTTTCTTTAAAATAATTCTTTGTATTACACAATATTTATTTATTTTGTAAACATATATTAACTTTTTAACATAATACAATAAATAAGATACAATATATATAAATAAAATATTTTATATATTATATCTCTAAATCCCTCCTTCCTCCGTCTCTCTCTCCCATTATTGTTATTATTCTTATTCTTAAGCTTATTTTTTTTTTAATATTATTTTTCTTATTGTTATTTATTATGATTTTGCGCCTAGCTGGAACCACTAATTTTTTGTATATTTTTTTTTACAATTACTAAAATAAATAACTTACATTTTAAACTTTTTATTAATTATATTTTTTTATAATAAAATATTAATATAATAAAAAAAAATAACTTAATGCATCGGCATTTATATTATAAAAATTTTAAAAATAATTTTTTTTAAAAAAAATTCCCTCCTCTACCACAATTTCGTAAATTTCCCCCTTTTTATTTTTGGTAAATTTTTTAAAAATAATTTATTTTTTGATATATGATCTTTCTGGAAGGGGGTTAAAAAAAAATTAATCATTATTTTTTTTAAAAAATGATTTTTAAAAATTTTATTTAAAATTGTTAAGAAAATATTTGAAATGTCAAGATATGGAAAAATTTATTTAAAAAAAAACAAATCAATCTTAAATTTACCTGCCAAAAAAATGAAATAGGTTTACCGTCAACTCATCCAAAAGTTGTATACAGACTTATCCTAGCCCACAATAGGAGTATCCAGGATTTTTCAAAGTTCAAAGTTAGCGGTGGGTTGTAGGGTAATAATTATATAGCAGCTTAAGTCAATTTTTAGCAGGCTAAAAAAATTGGCTAAACCTAGTTTTTAGCCTAAAGCTATCACTTTGACCTTGGGATTTTTTCTTTGAAATATAGCGGTTCAGATTTGAAAGAAACAAATATAAATTATAACGCCTTAATGTTAACGGACTTTCTCCGGCAGGCGCTTATAGATTGAGCGGGCATTTAGTCATTACCCAACTATAGTTGTGGGTGGGAGGCTTACCCGCTCATAACCCTCTAAACACGTGACAAAAAATGCATTAATTATATAGCATATTTTTGTATACTTCACCACGAATTCGCGCTTGCTGTGAATTCAGGATAATCTTTGGCTAACTGCTAGTGCCGGCTAGTTTCAGAAAAATGGGATCCCTAAAAACAGTTTCTGACGGAACTCACTACCTACCAGATGTCAATTAAATAACAACTTTTTTGTATATCTTTTTTATTAATTATTTATCAAACTGCAAAAAATTTTCATTGGGTTGTGTCCTAAATTATCAAAAATTAAATTCACAAACTTTCGAAACTTTATTGAAAATATATAAATAAGATAAAAGTCTATATTTTTAAACATAAAAATAAAAACATTTACAAAACATACTTGACAATTTTCTAAATTTTAATACTTAAACATACAATTTTAAAATTTTTCTTAAAAATTTTGGATTATAGCCTTTAAAACGAGTTTTATTTTGTAGTTACAAACTTTAAATAACAATATCCCATTAATTCACATATGTGAACCATCTTTTAAAACCAGCGAACACTACAACTTATTAACCAAATATTTTTTTTAGTGAATGTATGAAATTTTTTTTAAACTTTCCCCTTTTCTTAACATTTAAAAAAAATGATTAAATGGTGTCTTTTTTGTCCAAGAGTCTTTACTCTTTATTTTATATTAGAAAAAATCTATTATATACCATTATTTTTTAATAATATCATATTTGCTACAATTTATATAAAGTAATTAATGAGACAGTCAAAAAAAATCTAAGAATTTATTAATATTCTTTTTATTTTTACGGTTTATATTTTTTTAAATATATTTAGCCTTTTCAATATTAAAATTTATTTAATTCATAAGGCAAAACATTAAATAATAATAAATAAAGGAGGGAGAGAAAGAGACAATGGGAAAAACGAAAAGAAAATGAAATGCATTTTTTATATTTGATTTTTTGTAAATATAAATAAAAAAAACATTAAATAAATGTATCCCACCCAAATTTATAAATGGGGGTTTTATTATAAAACACTTATTTTATTCATTTTTTTTATTTTATATAACATTATTAATTCCTGATTTTTTATTTCAAAATATAATAAACAAGTGAAAATAAAAATAAAAGGAAAAAACATGAAAGTTAAACTTAAAATTAAAAATTACAAATTTTTTTTTTATATATAATGCAAAATAAAAAAAATAAGATGCAGAATTATATTATCTCAAATAATTCTTGCTGCTCCTTGCACCCAGGTCTCAGTTGAGAGAGCATTTAGTGCATTAGCACTAACTGTAACCTCTCTAAGGACAAGATTAGACAAAGATATACTTGATGATATTTTAATTATAAGCTTAATCGTACATTGTTAAATAATGTGATATTTTAAATCATTATTTATATAACCTATTTCATTATAAAGTTATTGTTTACATTGAAATTTTAATAAATAAAAATTCATATATATGACTGATTTAAATAATATAAATAGATTTTTTATATGAATAGTATAATCAGAGGGGGGCGTATTTTACTAGATATATCCAAATAGTAGTTTCTAAGATCTAAAATTGATTTAAAAGATTAAAGATAAAATATTTTTAAATTTGTTGTTCCCAAAAATATCATGTTTATATTAATGCATCTTTCTAGTTCAACTCCATTCCGGTTGGCTCAAAAAATTTAACATAATATGATACTATTATCATCTGCCCAGAGGTTTAAGTGTTTCCCAAAAAGATCATATTAACCTAATTTAAAAATAATGGATATGAGTAATGTGATAATTTCAAAATATATATATTAAAATAATTTCAAAAGGGAGTTGAGAATTAGATATGTCACTTATCTATGGTACATATTCACTGAAATTTTAATTTAACATGTTTACAATTTATTATTTTACCCTGTAAGTTCAAAAAAATTAAATAAAATTAAAAATGATAATTGTCACTTATCTATGGTAGATCTCCATTGAATATTTAATTTAACATGTTTATAATATATATTTTACCCATTTGCTTTAAAAAATTTCACAAAATTTTAAAAATAACGAACGATATACCTATTCGAAATATTCGTCCTCTAGTCGACTTAAGTTCACTACTCAAATGGAAAACTCATGTTCTCGACTCAAATCGACTTGAGTGCATGACTCGAGTTGACTGGAGTTCACGACTCGAGTTCACGACTAATCAGACTCTGAGTCGGAGTCGGGTGAACTCGACTTTTTAACAACACTAATTCTGACAATCTGTTTAGTAGTTGTAACCCTGCTTCCTAACAAGGACTGCATATATTAAGTAAATGATAATTGATAGAAGCCATTAACAAGACAGAACAGATAAACGATAATGTTTGTATAAAAAAAATTGAATGCTAATTTAAATGCATACAAAAAATTAAATTTAAAAAAAACGAATTTATTATATTGATTAAAACCAAGATATTTAATATGGCATATCTTGCAAAAGCAAACCATTTGTTTGTAGATTTTGAATCATTATATTTCAATTTTTATATAACTTACTAAATAACTATTTTACATAATATAGGTCAAACCTGCAGGCAAGGCCTGGCCCAAGCCCTGTATAGTTGAGCCGTAGTTTAATTTTTTTAAAAATATACCCAGGCCAGCTTAAATATTTTTTTTAACACCCAACCCAGGTCGGGCCATATATTTTAAAACCAAATAAAAATTTTAAATCACCATTAATTAGCTAAATAAATAAAAAATAAATATAATAGATTATAAAAAATCCAAGTGGACTTGAAAAAATAAAACCCAGGCTGAGCCATGCAAATGGTACCTCTGCAACTTTGATATAGATATAATATATTTTATATTGAATGCTTTGATATAAAGTATAATAAAAATAAAAATTTTTTATAATGTTGCCTCAAATTCTAGTAAAAACAAAAATTTGCCTCTTTTTAGAGTGTGAGTAGCCTCCTTCTCTGCAAATCAAATTTTAAGACTACAACCTTACTGGTAGTATCAGTGGTATCAAGTAAAAAAATGTGATATGAGAGCATCTGTTATAATTTTGTAGATATGTGTGGGACAACTTAGAGGGCTAAAGCCAAACACAGAAAAAAAAGAATTCCTTAATTAAATTTTTTTTTAAATGAATCCCCTAATCAATATAGTATCATCTATTGTAATCACAATATTTTAAAAACTGAAAAAATTATAGATGTCAGTTAATTAGTAAGTTAAAAAAATATAATGTATTAATTACATTCATATCACATTCAATAATTGACACTGCTTTTCCAGGTTTTGTTTCTAACACACATAATTCATATATCTGTAAAACATTAAATTATTAGAAAGTTTTAATGCTAAACTTGATCATTGTATTCAATAGCCAGAATATCCCCTGTTGTTAAACATGCAAAATTTCTTAAGGCATTTTCTAATCTTTTAAATATATATTAAATTTGAAGATGATAAATTGTATATATACATTTAATAAAATTATAAATATATACATACAAGGCCTTATGATTTGTAATATCTAAGAAATCAACTGATTGTGGTTGAAATTTAGAATATGTTGCAATGGGCAATGAAATACATTCAACTTGAGCAAAACCTCCCTCTTCAAGTAAGATGTTTCTCATCATCTATATAGTATATAGCTCTTCTGTATAAAATATAATATATTTATACCCAATATGGAATATAAATTTTTCCTTCATCTGCCACAAATTCCAAAACACCGCAATGAGTTATTCTATTTGTTTTTAAATTTGTCAATTTAAATAACATTGGGTATTCAGTATTTAATCTTGCTATTAAATAATATTAAATTCTAAAAAAAATTTCAATTACTTAATTGATTTAATGCAGAGGGTGGCATAATAACTAAAATATAACATAAATTAATTTTAATATATAACAAAATAACTCTTTCCTCCTCTTTCTACATCTTTTCTCTCATTTCCAGGTAACATAGATACTGAAAAACATTTGTATTGAGTCTTAAAAATCCCATTTGTGAATTCTGAAAATAAATTAAAGCTAAACTATAAAAAAAAATATTAATAAAAATCCAAATTTTAACAAACCATCGATCCTTAATCTTAGAATAATGGGTTACAAGGAATCTAGAAAAGAAGGAAATTTTTTAATTGGATGAAATATATTAGTTAAACAAGTAAGAAAGATAAAAGATTAGAGAGATAGTTATCATTAATTAAAGGTTAGAGAGATATGATTAATTAAAGGTTTGGAGAGGTGTGGTAATTTTTAGTGATTATAATAATGTCAAGTCAATCAGTATTATTCCTTTTCCAGGGTTTTGTCACTTTCAATAATTATATTTACTAATAATTGCATAACCCAGTATTTATATCTGTAAATTATTAGTGTGATTGAATATCGGAAAATTTTAAAACTATTATTTTTTTATTTATTTATATAAAATATATACGATCGTGTGGCGATTAGTCTATTTTATTGTGTCCATTGTTAATGTTGCCAGACTTAATCTTATAATTTATTAGCAACATAATTAATGCTTGATTCGCCACAATTTACTCTAAATATATAACTTACAAATCTTTTTTATAAGGCAATTTATGTTTTAAATATCTTCAACTCTTTAACTTACTAATTATCTTGTTTAAATTTTCGAAACCTTTTTAAATATATTTTTTACTTTTTCCTTTTTTATTTTTCACCAATTTTTTTTAAATTATAATTATTATATATTGAAAGAAATTTATTAATGACAAAAAATGTTTATATGTTTATAAAAATAAATAATACTAGGGCGTTATCCCCGGCCTTCGGCATGAGATAGTGTAGCATGGGAATCATAAATGACACTTAATCAGAGATAGTTATGAATCACAAATGGTGATGAGTAACAAATAGCGATGAATTATAAAGCATGAGATATCAAAGTTTTAATAGAGTAGGTAAATTTAAAAAAAAGATTAATATATTGTCATAATATAAATGAGTGTATTAAAGCATTAATGAGCAGGAATAATGATAAATAAAAATTATATAAATATTTACAAATATTATTCAAAGGTATATTGCGAATAAAGACTAAATTCTCAGTTATTTTCTTAGGTAGGATATTTAAGATCAGATATCTATATTATAATTTTCGGCCATGACTGAAATACAAATTGCTAAAAAATAAGAATTGCTCAAATTGATGTTAAATTATGATAATAAAATGTTGCAAAATAGGATGACTAAACTGCGAATTGCCGCGTATAATGTTAAATAAAATGGCTAAACTACGAATTGCCTTATTTTATGTTAAATTAAAATGATTAAACTATGAATTGCCTTATTTTATATTAAATTTAAATGACTAAACTACGAATTGCCGTAATTAATGTTAAATTAAAATGACTAAACTGCGAATTGCCGTATTTAATGTTAATTTAAAATTACTAAACAACGAATTACAGTATTTAATGTTAAAATAAAATGACTAAACTACGAATTGCCCGATTTAATGTTAAATTAAAACAACTAAACTGCGAATTTCCAGGGGCGTCGCAGCCTTTACTAACTCAGAGGGCTCAACTTAAAAAAAATTATGGGAGCGAAGCCCCAATATTCTCTAATTAGCGGGCCTTCGGTCAGCTTTTGCCCGGCCTTCGGACAGGTTTTAAATTGATATATTATTTTTGAAATTTTCTAACTCTGAACAATTATTCTGAATTTCATATTTTGTCGTTTATTTTATTATGTATACAAAATAAACTAGCATATAAATAATTAAAACAATACAAGACATTTCTAAAAAAGTATAAAATATTTTCGATTGCTGATATAAAAAATTTTGCGTCTAAAGAATTACAAGTGATAAAAAAAAGGTTAATTAATTCATACATATGCTTCAATTGATAATGGTTTTTAAAAACCACATAATATGATATAATTTTTAGCAGCTTACATTGGCAAAAGGTCGTGATGTGAAACTAATATAACTCTCTGTTACCATTTTAAACAATGTTTTATAGAATAGACCAATAAGGAAACATTTATAGGCCTTATCAAATTAACAATTCTTGAAGAAGAGAATATAAACGACCAATCCAAATCATAAAACCATATGGTGATTATAGCTTCCTCTTAGATAACATGATGGAAGCTAGATAAGTAATCGAGAAAATTATTGTGAGATATTAAATTTCTAAAAGATTATTTTCCATTTTTAATGATATATAAATGACTACATAGTTGATCATTATTGCTTATCTAAAATATGCAATCATATGCTCTCAGCAGTTGTAGTAATATTCCTGTTTATATAGCCAAACAGATAATAGATTCTGGTTAATTTGCAGTCATAACCATGACACTCACGATGTTAACTCATATAATAATTTATTATGTGATAAATTGATAAAACAAAAACATTAAGAATCTTTAGAAGAAATTATGCCTTGAGTTATTTACACGGCAAGGATGCCATATTAGAAATGAAACATTTTGTAACTATAAAATAAGAACCAGAGTGATATGATGAAAGCAAAAGATTTTTTATATTATTGTCTCACCACCTCTAGTTAGTATTAGTGTTGTTAAACGGCTCGTTTTAAGACGATTTTTAAAAACGGCTAACTCAATATTTCATCCGAAAAAATATTACGCAAATGTGAAGATTTTGCTCCTAGAAGGAACAAAGGTCTAAACATTAATTATCGAAATATTGGGTCTTAGGGAATTTTTTTCTGGCTAAAATATTGAGTTAGCCGTTTTTAAAATTCGGCTCAAAACGGGCCGTTTAACAATACTAGTTGTTATATTATATCTATAATAGTAGTTTGTAATAATATAATAAATATATCGTATTAAAAATTTAGCTCAAAATTTTTTTTTAAGCTCCTTAATCCCTTTGAACTAAAAATAAATTTTTAATTACCCCATGGCAGTAAGATGTCTTTCGATAGCACCCTCAAGTGCCTCGTCAGAAAGAGTCTGGTCAGCATTTGGAAAAATTCATTCAAAAACTAGAAATAGAATAAAGAATGAAAGAGTCGAAAAATTAATATCAATAAGGCATAACATACATTTAAAGGATCATACAAATACATCGTTCGGGATATCATCAAAAGAGTTCAGATTCCGATTTATCAATATCAAGTGATAATGATGATATTTCAATTTCATCCCATGAAGATATTGATGCTATTTCATTAGCATCCCAAGAATTTTAAATGTAATTTCTGATACATGCTTTTTTAATTAATAAAGTTATTCAAAAAATGATGTTTATAGTGTATTTATTTTTGTCTTTATTGTTTAATTATTTTATTTTCCCTTAGTTCCCCAAATTAAATAAAGTTATTCCATAAAAAAAATTGTAAGGTTTAAAGTATATTTTGTGGTTATTTTTTAATTTTCCGTTATTTCCCGTTTTTCCCCCAATTTTCCCTTTTTTCCCCAATTTTCCCGGGGAAATTTCCCCTGAACCAATTTTCCCGGGAATTTTACATCTATAGGTAAATATTACTCCAATGAAAACTTGAAATCGAAATTAATTGATAAATAACTTAATAGATAAATGTGATAAATAAATGTAATTAAATATATATTTAATATGAGATAGGAATAAATATTAACAAATATAAGTTAATATATACAATTTTTGAAAAATATACCCGGCATCTGCATTTTTTGGCTTTGGGGGGGATTTCCCCCCCCCCTCGCGGCGTACGCTAATGCTCTCCATTCCTCTCCCAAATTATTTGATTTGTTTGTATACTAATTATTGTTATTTTACTATTTCTCCCTAATATCTTCTTCTCAATTTTATATAACATCCGTGTCATACATACCCTGTAATACAAATGTTTAATTCTTGTTCCACAGTTTTTAAGATTGTTTTTCCAAAATTAATTTCCATTTACCATTAGTCCCCCTATACTAAGTTGTTGTTTTTTTGGGAGGGGGGAGGGGGTGAATGTGTGTTACATAATTTGTACTATATTAACTTTTATTTTTATTATTACAGAATTTATATTACTTTTAAATTGTTAATATGAGTTTGCAGCTATGTTTTATAACCGTAATTGATTTACATTTTATAAAAAAAAGATATATTTTTCATTATATATAAAGCTCATGAGAAAATAATTGTTTATTTTTATAATTAATTGATAAAATAAAAAAATATAATCTTCCTTATGTTTAAATTGAGCTAAATCCCTCTAATACCCATTCTACAAAGCAATTCTTCTCAAGACCGACGTCTTATATTCTATTTTAAGCAAGACTTTTCCCCGCTTGTCTTTAATTATATACGGAATTCGTAGTTTTGTCACTTTATTTTAAAATTAAATACGGCAATTCGTAGTTTAGTCACTTTATTTTAACATTAAATACGGCAATTGGCAGTTAAGTCATTTTAATTTAACATCATATATTGTTTAGACAACTTAATTTAACATTAAATAACGGCAATAGTAGTTTAGTCATTTTATTTTAACATTAATTACAGCAATTCGCAGTTTAATTATTTTAATTTAACATTAAATATGCTAATTCGCAGTTTAGTCATTTTATTTTAATATTAATTACGGCAATTCGTAATTTAGTCATTTTAATTTAACATCATATATTGTTTGGACAACTTAATTTAACATTAAATAGGGCAATTGGTAGTTGAGTCATTATAAGTTAACATTAAATATGGCAATTCGCAGTTTAGTCATTTTTAATTACCGTAATTTGTAGTTTAGTCATTATAATTTAACATTTAATACGGCAATTCATAGTTTAGTCATTATATTTTAGCAATACATCAATTGGTAGTTTAGTCATTTTAATTTAACTATATATTGCAATTCGTAGTTTTGTCATTTGAATTTAACATTAATTACCGCAATTCGTAGTTTAGTTTTTAATTTAACATTGTTACATATAAGTAACAATTATATTAATATATTGTTTGTATTGAAGTAACAATGTTATTAATAAATTTTTTGTATTGTAGAAGGTTTAAGGCTAAAAAGGTAGTATTACATATATTTATTTAATATTAAATTGATGTTAATTTTGTATATATATACCACAAAATAATTATGATAAAGTTTTAACCTTTTTTTTTTATCTTTTTGGAAAATAAAGAACTTTATTTAATATTCTTAACCATCAAACAAAGGTGTT